TTTATATTTTAGATAGAAAGTTTAGGAGAAGAAGGGGTGTGATATGAAGGATGTTTATAGGAAGGAAAGTTTGGACGGAGGATGCGGAATGCGGAGTAACATTGAGTGCGACTGATGAGGTGGTTGGCGACTCATTCGTGTAACGTGAATGCTGACTAAAATATGCAAGGAGATATGGTGCTGCAAGTACCATGGCTTTGTTTTCAATCAAAAAGAGTGAATGCTAAGAATAAACTCGAGGGACAATCAAGTATTTGCAATCATCTACTCTGTTGGTCTCACACGCATTGTATTAGCTGTTTGGTTGATGGTTTACTTGAAAGGCCCGTAAAAGCCCTGCTAGCGAGTCTCTGGGTTTTATTTTCTTTGAGCATAGCAATCTCCTGTTCTTGAAAAGGGTCAACTCATTTACTTTCATGTGGATGCGATTACAGGTGCCTCATCAACACGTCAAAAGCAATGAAATGATAAAGGAAGGGACTTGAACTGTCCGAAATCCATCCGGCAACCACATACCACAAAATAACTTACTCAGCGGCTTCTCCTTTACTTTTGTTGAAGTCTTTGTTTTATTCGTCAATTCAAAACACACCGTTCCTGTCAAGGAGAGAAACAAAAATCCTTTATTTGTTTGTCCGGACAAGCATCGGGAATGAATCGGCCAGGGTCGGTCGTTCTTTTCTTTATTCAATTTCCGCCCATTCTGCAACTTCCTCGAGTACGGCATTAACCTGAGATTCAATTATTTTGTTTTACCACCTCCCAACACACAACACCAAACAAACATGGCCGCACCACAGCAGGTATCCCCCGTCCAGGAGACATTCCTCCACGATGACTCTGACACGGCATCCGAAGCCGGCTCAGAATCACCATCAGTAATGTACCAAGCCGAACCTTTCGACACATTCAAAACTCGCATCCACGAACTGACCCTCACGCAAATCTGGCCAAACGCAAACTCTGACCAAATAACAATCGAGAGGCTCCGAAGCAGCGGGTTCAACCGGATCATAGGAATAACCTGGGATGTGGACAACCACAAGCTCCAGCACGTGGTCCGGGTCCCTTGGTTTCCAGACGATGACCTCGCCGCCCAAGCCGCTCCCCTGGACTTGATCAAGAAGCACACAAAAATTCCTTGTGCAAAGATCATCCAGTACGACCTCTCAACAGAAAACCCTCTCGAGTCTCCGTACATGATCCAGGATCACGTCCCGGGTGTGGACCTACACAGTCTAATGCACAACCAGGAGACCGGCAAAGTAGACAATAAAATCTCCCACCACGGATGGCAGAAGCTTGCCAGAGAACTTGGGTCCATAACCCGGCAGATGCTTTCCACGCGCAGCACCGTCGCCGGCACCATCGTGCTATCCCCGGACCGAGCCAAAAGCCTTCACATCGCCCCGTTCCCCACTACCACCTCGGATTCCGCTTCGACAACATCAAGACCGTACATCTCCTGCGTTCAATCCGAAATAACACCTTCCCGAATATCTGACCTTTTGACCTCCCTTTTTACCTTTGAGAGAGAAAAGGAATTAGCAGAGGGCACTCGTGCAGATTTACCATCGCCCTGGCCGCATTTGATTACTTTAACTTCCGAGTTATACTCTCAAGGGCACTTTCAGAATTTAAACTACGCGCTCTGCCATCCTGATCTCTTACCGAGAAACATACTCGTAAGCCCGCAATTTTTGTCTGGAACTCGCAGCAGCACGAAATCTTCCATCGCAGCTATTCTAGACTGGGATTCCGCACTGCTAGCGCCGAGCTTTATGGCGTGTCGGCCCCCCGCCTGGCTTTGGAACCACGGGGAGGAATATGAAGTCGCACAGTCAAATGAGGCAGACGAAAGTGAGAGGAACACAAAGGTGGAGCCGAATACTCGGGAGGGTGAAATTATAAAGCAGATTTTTGACGAGGCTGCCGGAGAGGAGTACGTGAGGTTGGCGTACGATCCTGTGTATGTCTTGCTCAGACAGTTGTTTAAATTTGCGATTGGGGGTGTGAATAATAGTGACCAGTTGGAATTGGCTCGGCGGTTGGTTGAGGAGTGGGAGGAGATTAAGAGGGGGAAGAACTTGAAGGAGGGTGATGACGAAGGTGCGGATGAGGCTGAGAATGGATTGCTGTCGCCGATTACGGAACAGCCTAGTGCTCAAGAGTCGCCTCATCAAATTCGTACCCAGACACAGTCGGAAGGAGAGAAGAAGGGAAAGGTGGCCAAGATTTGGAAGAAGAGGTGTGTTGTCATGTGAGAGTTCCCCTTTTGGGCGGAACAAGTAGTCAAAATACAACAAATGTAATCGAAGTTTGTGGTCCAATGATCAATAATACTTGTGCTCGGATGATGAATCCCAATTGAAGGTTTTACATCAGGGCGGAACGTTGACATTCTTCGAGAAAACCTGATGCAAAAGGAAAGACCAGACCAAGAAATTGACAGCAGGTGGGGCAAAAGTTATAACTACTACTTTCTTAGCTTCAAGATGTCAAACGCCAGGGTTCGGGTTGTATATGGCTACGCAGAACTCGCTCACGAACTATTGAACTTTAGTCTCCAACTTTGAAGCTCCAGAATCCCTGCAAGCTTCGTGGCTCCCTTAAACACCAAACCCAGTCGCCACGAGAAAGTCAACCTCCAACTTTGCGCAAGATGCTCTGGGCCATGCCACCGCGATAACCGAATTGTGTCGCCAATTCCCCAAAACCAATCATGATCATGTTACCATCACAATTGCTGCTCATTGCAGCTTCCACGCTCTTCGCGCAAACCACCCTCGCCGGCGCGCCCCACGAGCACGCGCTCCCTTCCTACCACTATGGCGCCCCTATCCAGGTAGAATGCATGAATCGAAGCTCGTATGTTTTTCTCTTCAACTCTTTCTCCCCAAAAATCCCATCTAATTTTTTTTGGTTTACTCTTCTAGAGAAACAGGCGAACACATCTCCCTCCCAAACTCGCCAACGCACGAGATCCAATGGATCCCCTTCCCGACCTGCAACGAGACCAACCTGCCCCTATCGTTCAAGTACGGCATCGAGGAAGAAAAAAACTGCACGATAGCAATGATCTCGGACCCCTTTTTCCACCTGCTCGAATTTTACATCCACGCCGACGCCCCCTTGGCCTGCCGATTACCCTCGCGACCGCCCCCGCACGTCGAGGTGGTCGGGCAGAAGCAGCCCGAGCAGGAATACATCCCCCTGGTCTTTGCGCTCGCGGGGACGCTCCAGCTGAGCCACATGCACATCAGCACGCACATGAACGTCCTGCTGCACAGCACGCCCAAGGAGCACATCCATCCGCACGACAGCGGCGTGCTCGACAGCGCGACCGCCTACTCGACCAGCCCGCTGACGCACATGGAAAAGGGGGAAGGAGACACAAGGAGGCTGGTTATTGGTGATCCGCTGCCGTTAAAATTCAGCGTGAGGTGGTTTCCTACCGCCGAGCTGCCCAAAACTGAGGGACACGTCGAGTGGCAGGGCATGCGAGGACACGTAAATGCCAGTACGGTGGTTTACAGCTTGTTGTCGTTTGTCGCGGGCGCCGTGGTCGCGGGTGTATATTTCATGGGGGTTGTGCTGCCGAGAAGACTTAAGGGGCGGTCTCTTGGTGGTGCGACGCCGTTGGGGTATGGGGTTGGGGGAGGAGTTGGGAACGGATGGGGGTATGCGGGACAGCAGAAGAGGGCTATTGATTGAATTTGAGGGTTATAACTTTATCTAATGCTTTGATGGGTGTACGATTAGGCGGGTATGGATTGTTTTACGGATTAAGATTTATTTTAATACCCCTTTCTTGGTTTGTGGTTCTGGGGAAGGAGCGAGTTTTTTTTTCTTCTGAATTTTTGTGTTGTTCATGGATGGGCAAAAATGAGATATCAACAAGCGTTTTTGTTTCCTTCCCTTTTTTTATCCTCAAAAATTTACCGCGTCTTCTTGCCCTCGGCCGCCTCGTCAGCAAAGTTAAGGCGCTCCACAATTCTCGATCCCATGTCGTATGCGCCGATGAGAGCTATTGACTGTCAGTCTTTATTCCCCTTACACAAACCGATCAAGGAAAATTACTCACGAAAGATGACAAAAGGCGCATAAAACTGCCACCTCAAAGTCGCCTTCAGAGACTCGCTGTACACGCTGCTATCCCAATACCACGTATCATGGATGCAGACAGCAGTGGTAAAAGCCATCTCGAGGGCGTAGACGAAGAAAAGAAGCTCGTCTGTCCCCCGCGTGCCCTTTTGCTGGACGCCCAGACGATAGAGTCCCCACAGCGTCGTCGGGAGCAAAAAGAGAAGCTCAAAGTGGAGGAACAGTCCCATCCAGCTGTCGTGTCCCGACGCGGTCTCGGTGGACCACTGAACGACGGGATCGTTGTAGGTTTGGATGTACCATTGTTTGACCTTGTAGAAGATGTGGAGGGTGGATCCTTCGGGGAGGTAGAGGTTTGAGGGGTAGATGAATTCTAGGAGGTCGATTACTGCAGAAGTAAGTCAGTGTTAAAGATAAAGTTGAGGGGGGAAAAGAGGTGAGGAGAAGGTAGGTAGGTAGCTTACACAGGATGATGGGCAATTGCGCGTAGAACCAGGCTAGCCAGAGGTTATTCCTCCATGAAGTGTTGTAAACCGATACTGCTGCCATTTTTAATGAATACCCTTTTCAAGGCAAAAATAATTTGACGACGAGTGGAAGCAAAGTGAGAGTTGTACGGATATGTAGCTGCCTTTTTATCTGACAGAACAGTTCGCGTTTCCCTTCAAAACCCAATGGTGTTGCGGCGCAGCAACCAAAACTGTCCAGGGACCCTTGAAGCAGGCCCCCTGGACCCTGGTCAATTTTCTCGCTTGTTGGGCAACCTTCCCTTGTCAACTGTGAACGACTACTACCCCACCACACCTTTTTTTTTAATTTTTTTTTAAACTCTCCACAACGAAACCCTAGCCCGCACTTGAATGAGGTTCCTGAAGAGTAGACTTCAACAATAAAAAGGCAAGATGGCCGAGCGGTCTAAGGCGCCACGTTAAGGAGATATCCTTAATTCAATATCAATGATCCATCCCGATCTTGGGTCGGATCAAAGATGATTCCGTGGTCCGAAAGGGCGTGGGTTCGAATCCCACTCTTGTCACAGCAATACAATACCTTTCTTCTGAGGGTTCTCTTTTTGTCAATCTTGTTTTTATGTCAAGTGTTAAATGTTTGACATTGGCACTTGTCTCGTTCAAATCATATCCTCTTTCACAACAAAATCTCAGATGGAGAATGTCACACTGTCACTGCCGAAACTGATCATGTTTTTTTTTCTGCCAAAGAGATATTATATACACACACACACACACACACAAACACAATCCGAACTGTTGTTTACTACTCGCATGCAAAAAGGTATCTCAACAACAACAACCCAACATCAGGATTTTACTCAAATTCCACAGAACCCCTCCTTGCAAATGATCAAGTCGAATCCGCAGTCGGCGTCGGTTTGGCAGCTCGCTCCTGTTTTTTTCTCTGTCAGTAACCGTTTATATAAATCTCTCTTTTATTATCCCCTGAAATACATTACGGTGAACGGTAACATATTGGTTGGCTGGAGGATAGGGCTCTGGAGGGTAGATTCTGGGGAGTAAAAGAAAAAAGAAAGCACACATACCAATGCAAGCCAACGGAGTATCGCACTTTGGTCCAGTAACAGGAGGAAGCTTGCTTGTGGTAACCGGGGGAGCAGGGGTCGTCCTTCTCGTGCTGGTAGCCAGGCTTGTGGTCGTGATACGGCGGGTGGTGCTGACGACTGTCGTTCCCGGACCGGCGGCGGCGCACTTGCTTCGTTGGCAGATGTAGTCGTTGTCGCAGTCGTTTTCATCGAGGCAGGGGTCGCCTACATTTTACATTATTTTAGCATCGTACACAATGGAGATTGATGTAGCGAGTCTATGGGGAAACAAACCAATGCAGTGTCCTGTCCAGCCGCAAGCTCCGGTGCCAGGTGAGGTAGAGACCGGAGGGCGGGCCGTTGTAGTTCTAGCTGTCGTCCTGGCTGTCGTGGTGGGATAGACGTAGACGGTGGTAGTCTTGACGATGGTGGTTGGACCACCTCCTCCTGGTCCGCTGGGGCGGCGAGTGGTGGTGGCTACTGTGCCGGGTTTGACGCACTTGTTGCCGATGCAGTCGAGGTCGCCGTCGCATTCGATGTTGGATTTGCAGGTGTCACCTTTTAGGTATTTAGTTTTTGTTTTCGTACATTGACGCGGAAAAGGGGGGCAAAGAGTAAACAAACCCAAACAGTGACCCGCCCATTCGCAATCAGATCCTCCTCCACCACCACCACCCCAACCTTGCCTAGCAACGACCTTGTCAACTATAGCTCCAAGTCCGGCTTCGACAGTCATGCCATAGGCCAAAGCGGCCAAAACGTATGTTGACTTCATCTTTGTGAGAATAAAAGAATGGACTGATGTTAACTCAAGCTCAAGAAGTGATCGGCATTCCCAGGGGTGCGGGATGCAGGATATATATATACATCTGTGAATCTTCCGTCTTTTTGCTTGTTGCGAGTCCGGAACGGCAACCGAACAGCATTACGCGGTTCGATTGATTAATCGATGAATTTTATTTATTTTTTCCCCCAGTCGCGATCCCGGTCTTGGGTTACTGCCGCGTTCTTCTGGTCAAGGGCAATTTGGAACAGTAATCTACCGTTTCTCGATTTTCATCACGGTGATGGGTGACATCCCCTGTTACCCCAGACTTTTGTTTTTTCTTCCGCTTTCTCCTCGCAAGCGAATCTCTCTGTTTCTTCCAGTTATTTCTCTTCCCGCCCATCCATAAACAAGGCTCGTTTAAAATGTACATGTCGGATCCCGGCAGGGTAGTTGTGACTGGGGAAACCGGCAAAAGCTTGCTGAGTCTATATTGTATTTTGCCATTGTGTCACCGCAGAAAAGCTGTCCGAGCAGGTTAAGGGCAGGCAACGTCAGCTCTTTTCCCCCCCTCGAATTTGTTGTGCTGGTCTTGGCAACGGTTAAAAAGAATTTTTGAACAAAAAAGGTGCCAGTGAGGAGCCAAGACCATTGGGGCGATTAAAAAGGCCGGATGATATATATACTGGGGTTGTTTTGCCGGTAAGGAAATGGGACTGTCCTTTCGCCATTGTATATATTCGAGATACGTTACCTTACCTTGCTGAAGTCTGTTTTGTCTGCAGGAGACAATGCCCCGGAAACTTGGGCAACCAAACTTATTAAATGACCGCGTTGAGATTGGGGTTGACGCGTCATCGGTTAGCTTGTTATATAAATTACATGTTCACTGTCGGGTCGTATCCGGGGATCAAAGTTGAGAAATGGCAGATATCCTTCTCACCAACACGCCGAGGATCGGTTCCTGCGTTTGCCAACTGTCTTAGCACGCCTTGTTTTTCTTCAAGCTTGCTTGGAACCTCTTGATCAGTTGAAGTCTGAAGTGGCTGGGTAACATCAAACTTGCAGGGAAACGAATGTGACATTTTGTTATGCTCTCAACTACTTGGCCTTTTCTTTTCCTTTCTCGTCCCCTTCATTCTTCCCTTCAGTTTCTAGTTGCACACTGTCACTGCCTATAATAATCAAGTTCACGCCGAAGTACGATAGTATTTGTGATATTCGTGATAAAAATATAGTCGCCTCTTATAATACCTAGGCTGACTTAGCCGGCGGGGAGAGTGATGAACCTAAGCCGGAACTAAGAAAACTTCATTGTGCGTAAGGTCGATGGCACGGATGGTAAGTATATATATTGGCATTAGTAGAGCAACTCTCCAACTCCGTCATAGTTATTATCTTGGACTGTGAAGTAATGTTGCGATCCCTGAGGCTAGCTGGGTGTTTTTAGATCGCTAAGACCTAAAGGCAGTTAGTGGTTCCTGCAATAGCTCCGCAGGACTGGAACTGGACCAGGGTCACAGAACCTGGCCAGGGAGGCTGTGAGATAGCTAATGAGAGACCGAACCCGGGTGAGCTGTTGGATTGGGATGGGGCAGGGGGCTACTGTAGCGTTAATGCACCACCGAAGTTTGCCGCCATGTTTGCTAGATGCTATTCCACATGGTCCTAGATACACTTGACGAATTATCTCTAAAGTATCAGCCAAAATATTTGGAGCATTTGAGTTCCCTTCAGACAGGAGAAAACGGCGAGATCAAAATATTTATTACTTTCGGGCCAGAGGAGAACCTGAAGCAAAAAGTCAACCAACTATCGTGGGCCCTCATTTGTCATCCAGTAAGTCTGATATTTTTTCCCATCCATTCGGGTCTCGTTCTTGCTCATCCGAAGTACGTCCACTGCTATTAATCTTTGCATATTTCCGAGCTAGCGCGTGCATTGTTTCTCCCACACGGGTGACTCGTGTGAGGTCTACACGCCCACTTTCAATAAGTAATAAAACTGCAATGAAATTGCCCCCCACGATTGCGACTTCCAAGGGCGTCTGCCCAGCCTTGTTCTCTTTGTCCAGATTAGGCGTGTGCTTTACCAATAATTGGATAGCTTCGGCGACACAACTGAACTCGATTCCACGGTGAAGTGGCAGTCCGCCAGATTTGTTTTCAATGGATGCCGCAGCGCTGCCGGTTGCTTCCAGGATCCTACGAATCAAGCCCAGACGACGTCCGGGCAAGGCATCATCAATCGCATATTTTCGTCCTGCCAGATAATGCAGAGCTGTATTGGCATCTTCGTCTCCTTCTAACAAAGCATCCGAATGTGTATCAAGAAAGTCTAGAAGAAACTCCAAAGCATAATATTTTTTGGTAACACAGGCACTGATCATAGCAGTCCACTTGAGCCGACCCGGGTTTTTTTTGGTTAGTGTTTGGTATAAATCTCCATATTCTTGTTCCACGCGCAAGTTTGAAGCCGACCGTCGGATCACCATGCTCCCGGGATGATATAAGCTTGGATATGCTTGTTTCGTGAGTTTGTGAAGGAGGGCCTTCTGTTTCTCGATTGTAGTTGCTTTCCGGGTAGCGAATTGTTCTCTCATATAGGTGGATTCATGAATTGTTTCTTCAAGTATGGATTTTAAGTCGAAATATTGTGTTGAGAAATCTAGCAACAGATTGAACAGGGCAGTATTTCCAGCACAAACAGAATATGCAGTGGCCTTGGAAATAACCCGCTCAGAAGGTGGCATTGAGCTGGAGTTCAAAAATAGCCGCGCAAGGTCGATATCCTCGCGCATGATTGCATGGATTATTGGTGAAATTCCGAGGCGATCGAGAAACGGATCCACTCCTTCCTGAACTAGGTACTGGCAGATAGTTGCATGACCATTTTTGGCCGCGAGCATCAATGGCGAAGAAGCTTTATTTGGGCTCTCGGGTTCATTGATAGGGGATCCAGAGGCTTGAAAGAACTTGACTTGGTCAAGGTTTCCCTCAGCAGCGGCTGTGTAAATTGTGTCCTCTCTGCGTTTCTTTGAAATGGGGAAGAGGCCGTCGAGATTTGTTTGGTTGCAATGAAGGCGCTTGATGTGAGTATCAAGATCTCGCTGTAAGCTATACCCAACTGTCTGAGCATAACATCCGTTCACTGAGCATTTGAAAGGCTGTTCATGTTCAAGTGTATGCCGGTTCCGGTCCTTCTGATTTGGGAAACCCTCTGAAAACCCAAAGCATCCCACCCTCGAACATTTAAATCGCCCATAACCGTTCAAGTCAAAAAATGCATTTTTTCCTGGCAGTGTCGTTTGATCCATTGTCTCTATCACCCCTCTGATCAGGGTTATTTGCTCACGAAGGAAGCCACGATCATTACTTTTCAAAAGGAATTGATCGAGGCTTGAGACCGAACAGTCTGCGACTGATCGCTCCAGTGTTGTCTCGTGGGCATGATCAGGTGATTTCGTTTCCCGGGTCTGGGTCTCCAGAAGCTTCCGGGCTGATTGTCGCACATTGTTTCTTGTTTCCTCATCAAGAGTATTGTCGGAACTTGTAACAAATCGAACATGTTCTTTCCAAGACGTTACTGCGTAGTCGAGAAGGCCGTAATATCCAGCTAACGCTGAACCTTCAATGCTGTCTAGTTCTTTGACTCGGAAGGGGTTAGAGGCGAGGTACTGAGTGCAGAAGAGTGCCATTTTTGTGTGAGTAAC